ATTTTCGAGACCAAACTTTTTCTGTAGATGGAGAATCTTCTGTTCAATAATGTTTTGTGTGGTGTTTTTGAGCCGATGGAGCCACCATAACACTGTTTCTCAGAGAGACGGAGGCTTGCTTTGGGGTTTGCGAACAAGACTCGTTTATGCTGGTTCAATTTGACCGTAAAAAAATATTCAAACCGAATCCACGGACTTTCTTCTGTCTTACAATKACTAAATCCCAAATAGTCTTGTACTATATTCAAAGTATCCAATGTGCACAGCACATTTGACACGTTTTCCCGTGTCAAAACTTGTTAATATTTATTTTTGACATATACAACAAATTCCATCAAAGCGATCGACATTTTTTTCTGCATCTGTAGTACTGTGGATGATTTTTTTTGTGACTCGTAGATAACAAGACATTTAGGATCGACGTCAGCCGAAAAATGAACTTTTTAAACCACTTACATTCTTCCAACGTCCATACACGTCGAATATGATTTAAAAGAATGTCTACCAGTCAAGGCTAGCAGTGATATTTTAATGCTTACATTCTCATGAATTTATGACCTGCGCAGACAAATTGAATAAATGCTGTAAATGTTTAATTAGGACGTTTGCATGATGGCATGATTTGACTCCTACTACCAAAGGCAATATTAACTATGCTACTACCATTGTGCTTCGCTAATTTTCTACCTTATTTAGATTTTGTATTCCCTCATGAGAATAGCAAGTCAATTTGTGCTAATAAACTGCACGGGAGTCTGGTAGTAGAGGTCAATGACACCATCATGTAAACGTCCTATTCGAGTTTGTTTGCTGGACATTCCCTTTAGAAAATAATAATTGTTTGGTGGTCACTCAAGGAATGCCGGCATCGGTTTACGGGAATAAGCTAAAAGAAACACAAGGCGACGACGGATAACTGGAGAAGAAGAATTGGTTTTTGGCGTGATAGTTTAAATGCTAATCAGCTATAGATTTTTTTAGGATAGCATCTCAAATATGAAGTATTTAAAGACATTCGCAATCTTCTTTCTTCAATAATTCAAACACACACACAAACCGTATCCAAATTCAGTCTATATAATATAAATTTTCATAATTGCGATAAGATGTTTTGAAGAAGAAAAACATTACAAGAGAAATAAACTTGTGTTTTCGCGTGAACGGTATACATTTGGGAATCTCGTCGTCGATATGGACACTGGACTGGGTCACTTATACAGACAT